GGGGGGGGGGGGGGGGGCTCCAGTCCAGCCCCAGAGACCCTCATCTCCCTTCGCCTCTCCCTGGTGCCGCTGGTGGTTAATTAATCATGTTAATGAATGTGGAGGGACCAAGAAAGACCCCAGCGACCCCCCCCGGCCCCTGTGTTTTGGCTGGATCCGTGCAATAACCCCGAACGGCAGCTTTAATGTCCCCCCTCTGTGCAATAATTATTTAATGGCAGTTTTAATGTCACTGTGTCACCGGTGGCCGTGGCTGGTGCTGTGTGTGTTGTTACCAGCACATCCCGTCTCCCTGGGGCTGTGGGACCCCCACCCCCAGCCTGCTTTTTGGGGGGGTGGGTCCTGGCTGGCGCCCCCCTCCCTGTCCATCCATCCATCCATCCCCACCCCACCCCAAATGTGTGTCTGAGCTTGGAAAAAAATAAACCCCGCTCCCGTTGGAGCCGAGCAGAGGGTTTGGGTTAATATTTACCCACGTGGGGCCGGGCTGTGCTCTCGGGCAGACGGAGCTGGGTGCAGCCGGGGATCCCTGGGCCGTGTCCCAGTTAAACCAGTATCCCATAACCTTCGCCCTCCCCGGCTCTGCGGTTGCTCTGCCGGTCGCTGGCCCCTGGGCCGTGTCCCAGTTAAACCAGTATCCCATAACCTTTGCTCTCCCTGGCTCTGGGGTTGCTCTGCTGGTCGCCAGCTCTTGGGGCAGGATTGTCCCCCCCGGGGTGGGATTGTCCCCCCTGGCTGGGTCCCCCTGGCTGTGCCGTGCTGGTGGGTGGCAGTGGGAGGGGGTCAATGGGGGGGTTTGGCCCCACGATTTGGGGGTGTCACACGCCTTGTGACACTGCTTGGTGGCCTCGGTCCCCCACACTTTGGTGGGAGCCACCGTGGTGGGACAAGGAGGGGTCGGTGTGGGGACAGCATCGCCTCGAGGGGACAGGAGGAGGTGGCAGCTTGATGTCCCCAGGAAGGGGCTGGGGGCTTGGCTGGGGATAGGGGTGGCATTAGGGGTGTGGTGGGAGCCCAGACACCACCGTGATGGGTGTCAATGAACCCGCGGGCACCTGCGGCGTGTCGACAGCTCTCCTCCTCCCCACTCCCTCCCTCCTTTTCCCCGTGGGGCAGGATCCC